CACGCAGCCTTACAGGCAGTGGACCACGGTGCGTCCCTCGCCGCCGTCGTACTCGTCCTGCCACTTGTCCACCTGATGGACCAGTTTGAGGAAGGAGCGCTTGGAGACGGGCGTGTCGCGGTACATGGGCCAGCCCAGGAACTGGAACTGCTGCACCATGCGGAACCCGTCTTGCGGCTGAGGACACAGACAGGAGAACGGCCATCAGACAGAGGTAGGGGGACGTGGGGGACAGTGGGGACAGTAGGGGACGTGGGAGATTGGACAGGCAGAGACCGTCTGACAGTGAATCCAGCAGGCAGGGAGGACAAAGGGTTAAAACAAAACACACAGTGCTGGGAGGCGGGTGGAGACGCGGGTCTGGATCAAACACCTCAGGTATTTGATGAGACACAGGGAGGAAATGAAATGTAAACTCAGCCTGACTGGGAGGTGAAGATGATCGAATCAAACACAGCCTGATCTAAATTTAGTGAAACAGCCCAGAAAGAGGATGTTTGGATCAAACAGCTTCTGATCCAACAGAACCTCTCCCCTCTGCTGATAATCACACACCTCCTTCCTCATTATCATTATCAAACTTTCCGACATACAGGTGGGACTCCTTTCTGGCTCCTCCCCCTGAGCATATATGGCTGCCAGCAGCTCCAGAACACCAACAGGAAGCTTCGTTTGCAGAATAAACTGTGTGGAGGGCTGAGAATTCAACAAACTCCTCTGGAGTGGACACCTGTCAGGGAGGGGGAGGTGGTAAGCTCAAACGCACCCTGGCTGTGTTGTAGATCCTGAAGATGCGGCTGATGACGTCCTCCTCCAGGTCAGCAGAAACAAACTCCACCTGCAGGGAGCCGAGGCGGTGAAGGCCATTCTCTGGCCAGTACTGAGGACACAGCTGAAAAACAGAGACATCAAGAAAGACCTCAGAGAGATTTCAAAAAGACCTCAGAGAGACCTCAGAGAGACCTCAGGGAGACCTCAGAGAGACTTTAGAAAGACCTTAGAAAGACCCCAGAA